ATAAATAGCTTTTCCTCTCTAGCTGGCAGCCAGAAGCTTGATGTCAGGGATGTTGGCAATGGGGAGAGCTATGAGACCCAACTATCTCTGGGGCTTCTACCTGTTTCCTAACTGCTATAACTATGGCTGGTTGCAGCCACACTACACAGGCAGGTGCTCCAAGGAGGTGAGGAGGCAGAATGATGAGCTGCTGTGGCTATGGGAGTCCAGCACTGCCCTCTACCCCTCTGTTTATCTGCAGGTTGGTTAAACAAAAATGCCATCTCAAATTTTATTTCCAGTTTTTATTCTCAGGCTGATTTTTCCGTGTTCTTGTTGTGTTTCAGGCTTCGTTGGCAGACAATCCCAGAGCTGCACTGATGGTGAGAAACCGTGTCCAGGAAGCTTTGAGAGTGTCCACCCTGCCAAGACGGAGTGGCACCGCGCCCGTGTTTGTTTACATGAGACCTGTTTTTGTTGATCAGAACAGACGCTTCCTCAGCCAGGTAAATAAATCCAAATTTAAATGCTGATTTGTTTAATACAAGCCTCATTCACAGATGAATTATGTAAATGGTACGTGGCATGAGTTTTGGACCCAGTGATGCAAGTGGATGTCATTCGGAGGCATTTATTAATAACAACCACTTACTAATCTTACTAAATAAATAAATAATTATATCCACCATCCAAACAGATTGCATCTTTTGAAACAACTCATTAGGGAGTGACCACACACTTGCCAAGATTAGATACATCTTGGGTTACTTCTTCATCTCAGCAGTGGGGTGTTTCCAGCCTTAGGTCCAGTTTAAAAGGAGTTTGGTTTCTTCAGTGTAACGACACCCTGCCCAGGTGGTAACCCTCACCTGGACGTGTAATCCTTATCCTCTCTTCTCACCTTGTACAGTGTGTTTTTTCATTCTCAAGTGTGTATAAAATGAACAGTAGGAAAGGCCATGCAGCATGCGTGTGCACAAGACTGGTGTTTGTCTCATTTGTGAATGCCTGTAGCTGTTTCCTTTCCCTTGTTTTTCCTTTATTTGTACAGAGGCATTAGTGAGCATGTTTAACCATTTGTGTCCAGGGGGACTTGGTCAGCACCATTGGGGAGAGTGCAGCAGTGGGAGCGTCTGGTGCTGTGTTGTGGGGGGCCAGCGCTGACTATGATGACCAGGTAACATCACACCGCAGACCTCCACTGCACTGCTGAAAGACATGGCAGTGCACTGATGGCAGGTAGTCACAAAGGGACAAAGGGTTCAATGAGATGACATAGGAGTCTGCTAATCTGAATATAGCTACTGATTGACTGTGGTGGTTGCTACTGTGGTGACATTAGTTAATCCACGATAAACTCGATGATAGTGATGTTTTAAATTCTGCTTAAAGACAGATATGACGGTGGCATCAGTCTTCTCATCTAACTATGGGCTTTTCTTTATCCATAAGTAGACATAGTTACATGATACTGTTGAATTACTTTTCTTGTTTCTTCTTCAACTCTCTTTCCTTTGATCCCCAGGCCTCTTGTGAATCCCTCTCATCCTACCTCTCCTCCACCCTCAACCCTTACGTCACTAATGTCACTGTGGCCGCTCAGCTCTGCAGCAACTTCCTGTGCCAGGGAAACGGCCGCTGTGTCCGCAAAAACTACAACTCCAATCACTACCTCCACCTAAACCCTGAGAATTTCAGGGTCATGTATATTCGGAAACGCTATCTAGTTCTAGGGAGACCTACCTTTGCAGACCTGAAGACTTTGAGCAGGAGATTTACCTGCCAATGCTACAAAGGACTGAGGTGCACTCCCAGGACATACAGTGAGCTTGTCAAGGCCCTGATATTTAGTGTGAAACAAGGGCTGCACAAAAAAGCCCATACTCTGAATAAAACTGTGCTGGATGATAGACAACAAGCTAGTATTACTAAGGATAATGTTAAAAAGAACTTGAAAGTTTAGCTTGTTACAGTTTTCAGGAAACACAACACTTAAACCAAACCATTCTGCAATCTAGGGCTGGACACTGAAATCCAGATGACCATGTTTGACCCATAGTTTGATTTGCATTGCCAGTGATTAAAATGAAGATACAGCAGGCTTGGCTCAGCTGGAGCGCACATAAGCAGATTGCCATCACAATGCAACCTCTATGCTCACGGGGCTACTGGTTGAAGGGCTCTTCTTCTTAATAGTCGTGCTATGGCCTCCCATCACTTAAATACACTGGAAGATTTAAAGTACTCAGGAAGCATCACCTCATCTATATCCTTCATGCTGTGACCACTGACAGAAGGTATCATGTTGCATAGTCTTGCCAAAGAACAGGGCTACCATCAGGGGTTTGCCAACAGTTGAGTATACCCTCATCTCAGATCAAACTTGGAGGAAACACTAATACAGACTGTACTTTATCAAACACACCATATTATTCACAGTAGGCATTTGCATATGATTTGACTGTATATGTAAATAAATGAAGAGAGACAGAGCACAACAGTGTTATTGTTCCTGTGTTCAACTTGCTCTTCACAGAAACAATTTTTACAGAGTAATAGGCTAACTGGGGATTTTCAATATTCCGTGTCGAAATGCAGTTCATAAACTGTGCTTTATTTGCTTAGTTCGTGAATTAATTTAGGCTAATGAGTTTAAAGTGATTTGGCAACATTCTCGTTCTATTTTAAATGGTGGTATATTGTTAGCAAATCAAGAGATGCAAAAAAAAAAAAAAAAAGTTGCTCACTCGGAGCACAACACAACACTGAACATTTTACATTACACAATTAAGCGTCCCAGTAAAACCATGACAGTGTGACAGTGAGCAGGTATTTGTGATATGGTGGCCCGGAGGCAAACATGTCTCTGAGTATAAAAAAAAAAGCTACAGCGCTGTTGTAGCCGCTAAGGCAAAACAGCTGACATCTTTACTATTTCCATTCGCTCATAGACTTTGCTGGCCGCGCATAGTTCCCTACATTGTTACTCTCAGCTTCAACCTGAACAGCGGCCTTATCAGATAAAGTGAAAACACCTGTGTGTTTTGGGCCACCCGATGGCAGAACTCAAGAAGCTAAAGTTTTATCACCCTGTCTAACTGTTTTGGCTAGCTAAGTTGTTAGCAAGCAGTTATCTACTTACCAGCAGATGTGGACCAGCATTAACACTCATGGAGATGTGTTCCTGTCCACCTGATGAAGGTAAGTCCAATGTTTATATTTACCCCCTTCGCTCCGTTTGGTCTCCACCAACTCCCGAGAAATAACTGTATTTAGCATGCAAGATGCCTGAGCAGCGAATTGCTAACTTGTCTTTGGCTATGATATTTAGCAGGTTGCTATTGCAGCTTGCTGCTGCTGGTGGAAACAGGCTGATAAAGAGCTGGGATATATAAATGTGCTTTACAACACAAACAGTGAGCTCAGCAAATGTAAGTCTAATATTTAAAATTCCTCTCACTCAATTTTGGTCTCAACCAACTCCTGACAGTTGCTAAATGTTTGAGAATCCAATAGCTAACTTTGTCTGCCGTTTGGTATTGAGAAAGTAGTGTGTGGTGTGATTTTATTGGAGCTTTTTTTTTAGCTGCCTGTTGCTACTGGAAACAGTCTGATAAGAGCTGGGATACAAATGTGTTAGTGACCTCTGTCACATTACACATAATGTTAGTCATTATGACTAAAACATAATTAATGTAGCTCGACCAGTTGGACTGGTCAGCCTACACCATACATTACAAGGTTATTTTTTTCAGCTGTTGAAATGGTGAAGTAATAATGATAAGTTATCAGCAACAAACAGTTGCATCTCACTTCTTGTTTCCATTTGTGTGAAACCATGTTTTCATGTTTGTGCTCAGCAGTCTTTATGGAGGAGTTAGTGTATGGTATTCCCATTGTGGTGTTGTTAACAGATACTGTGGGTCATCAGTGTATTCACTCAGGGTCCTCTGGGTGGTGAGAATGAGATGTGTCTGAGTATGCGTCTTTGCTTGTGTCACAGTGATCTCCTTGGTGGTATTTAGAAAAAGAGTACAGTTTGTCATATTGTTGATTTTGCATCCTGGCTTAATAATATATTGGTTGCTCATTGGTAAATATTCAGTCTTACTGAGTTATTATCATATGGTTGTCACCATTTGGTATGACAACATTTAAGCTTGTGCAAACTTTGCTTGTTGCAGACCAGATGGCTGCTATGATGCATATTTGTCTAAACTATGCAATCAACCAACAAACCAACCACCAACACACATTAATGCATGTTGCCATGACAATGCTCTACATATACAGTTTGAAAAAACTAAACAAGAACATTAACATTTCCCTACAAGTTCAGGACACAAACAGACATTTTTGTTGAACTTAACTGCTTCCTCCCTGTTGGTTTAATTTATCACAACAACATCTCAATAAGGAAACTGTAATGACACAAATAGCTGTGTGTGTGCCAGGAACTGGAATGTTTGCTCCTCTCAAGAAACTAACCTACTAGGTAAAAGCCAGCATTACCTGTTATATAATCTGTTGCTTATGTCTCTTGACTTTGTTTTTGAAATGGACTTTGCTGAGACTTGTTTCATGCCTTAGATAAGATACGAGTCTATAGACAAACACAAATGTACAAGAAACTACTGCCTACTGTTGACGACATCATGTCAGTGGTATGAGTCAGTCAGAAAATAGGTTGCAGGCCTTTCTTTGTTGGTAGCCTATGATGGTGAATGTTTCAACAGAGCTGGAATACCCAGGGCACCAAATAAAAAGAAGGGGGGGGGGATTGTTTTTCTTTCTTTCACAATTTCTCTCTAAAGACTTGCCAGCCTGCTCTGCGTCATTTTTCTTTACAGTTTTCCTTTACAACTGGAGTGGCCAAATAAAAAAGAGATCATAGCTTTAATGTGGACTCCTTGAAAAGAGCAAGTAATATTTGTGACACAGAGTTCAACAGATTTGCTCAGAACCCCACTGAATGGTGCCTGTCAACATTCAAGTAAAGAAATGAAGGAGTGCCAGTCATGTCACAAGAAATTTTTAGATTTAATTAAAATTGTAAGTTGTACAGTACATGCCATTGCAAGTCGGTCATCATTTTTTACTTTAATCTGCATTTTATTTCAACCTTTCACACCCTTTTCTGAAAGCAGTTTGGTCTCTTTTTTAAAATCAGTGACTAACACAACACAAAAGTAAAGTGTGATTAAATTACAGTTATTCAGCCATGGAAAATCTTAAAGATGTAAAAAGTCACACACTCATGTGGCTGTGATTCAGAAAATGACAGTGTTAAAGAACCTTAATATAGCTGCCAAGTAGAACAAAAAACAAGTCACCACTTGTGATTTAGACATGATTTGAAATATGTTCTGACACCTCTCAGATATAATATTTGTGCCAGATATCTTTCTAAATATGCATAGACAAAATTCAGTTTGATTCCTTGATAGAAATCCCTAATGAATAAGAAAAAAATATTTTAAGAATCCAACGAGAATGATTCTAATAAATTTCAATGATGTACAACAATTTTCACTGTCACTCCTTGGTCTATGAGGGCATACAAAAAATGATCAGAATTTAGAGTTGTATTTAGAAGAAACTGTTTCCTAATTTTATAGAAATGATTAAAGGGCAGCTTCATAAATGACAGGATTGATTCCAGCACTGACTTAAAATACCACTGTGGGACTAAAACAGCTACAGCTGCTGGTAAATTCATCAGCTCACTCAGAGTTTGATTTCAGAAACCAACTCCAAAAGACAGTCTATTCACCTTACAATGTGACCTGTATAAAGTTTACAAGTTTGCTAAGATATACCACCATTTGTTTAGTCACAGTGCAAGGTACTTAGATTGGTTTGCTCAGAAGGCATAAGACCACTATAAAGCCAAACCACTGGAGTTTAAAAAAACTTTTTACTAGAAACTGTTCCCTCTGAACCTGTAAGTCTGTACAATATTTACTTCAAGTTTGATCAGTGGGTTTAAATTAAATGGCTGCTTGACTGAAACGTCCATCAGTTAGAGATAAACTTGCTCAGTAAGTGCTTTTAGAAATAATTTGACACGACTAAGCTTGGGAGTTTTAAGTAAGTTTTCAAAGGACATAGTAATCTGTAAATTAATCGACTTTTTCATAATATTGTATTTCTCTTTTTTTAATTTGTATTGATATTGGTTATTTAATGCTCTTTTCACTGGAGACAAGAAAAAATACCCATAATTTTGCTGCGGAAGTAGTATAATTACTGATAGTGTAAGGGACTCAGCCTCACTGACTGAGAACCTGTCATTGGTGCTGATGGTAGAAATTATGTTTATCAGGAGAGCTGTGCTCCAAATGTTCAGATGGGTTTCAGATGTTTCATACAGTACATTGACAGCAGAACTGTGGCCCCCACCCACAACTGTAGCACTTTCAGCTGAAAAGAGACCTGTGGGTAGCTTTGTTTCTGTGATAACAGCTGAGGCTGAAGGCACTACAGCAAAGTAACGTTTGGTTCATGAAAGATTCACAGTAAAATCTCCCTCGGCTCCTCGTACCCATTCAGCTACAGCTTTTCCCTTGCTACATATATTACTGGGTTTACCGCTACTCTAATAATTGTCATGCGTTACTCTGGGATCATATGAACAAGCTGGGTGACAATTGGGAGTATGTTCCAAAATGTAACATTAACAATTTAAAAAATAAAATGAGATCAACATTTAAAAACTGACTATTTGCATGAAGGAATATGGAGCAAGTGGATACTGTCCTCTTAACTTACATTTTCCTTGTTTTGAAAATACTGATGTTTGAATTTTAGGTGGATATATGTGTTTTGGGGAAGAAACCCTAAATCATAAACCTGAAACAAAACCTTCCAGTAGTTTTTTTTTTTTTTTCTTTTTTAATTTTTATATCTACCTTTTTGTTTAGCATGCAGATATGGGCTACAGTTAAAGCATGCCAATGAATATGTAAGTGACATAATCGCTCTGACCCAAACTAAACCTGTCACAATCATGTAGTGTATGAGAAGGCAGGTCTGTCACTGCAGTGTCTAAAAAAAAAAAAAATGGAATATTCAGACGTCCAAAGTGATGAAGACTTGTAAAACTGGTTAATATTACAACTGCATCCTACAACAGAGATAAAAATGGCAGTAGGTTAACTGAATTCAAACAGGTTAGGCAAACAAACCATGTCCTACATTGTGTTTTATCTCCATTTATGGACCCAGAAATATCAGGCATTGCAGAAGTGACAACAGAAAAATGTCTCATCTGCATACTGGTGACAAGTGTCCAGATTCCAGAGTGAACTGAATCTCAACTTTCTGCAAGTATTAACTGCACAAAATCTCAACTCATCTCAACATTTGTTGTCATGGTAACATCTCCTGTCTGAACCAAAGTAATTATCTTAGATAGCCTACTTTGATATGTGGGCAAATGCAAACCATGGTTTGAGTTGACTGCCCAACCTGGTCCTACATGACCATTTAACCTTGTAAACCTTTTCAAACTGAATCTGTTGACAAACACAAACTTTCTCTTCTCACTAAATCAGTTTGGGTAATAAATACTGCCCAGGCCTGTACGCCCTGTTCTTTCTTTTTAGGAATGAATAATGCCTCCTTGTTTATCATTAGTAACATGTGGGTGAGACTTTGCCCAAAACCTCAAAAAGAAACATTAAAGTAGTTTTTTCTTTGACTCCAGCTGTCCATTGACCTCTCCATTCTCCCCACTCACATCTGCATCTTTGTTCCACTTGATCCTCAGCAGGACATTAGACAGCATGTCCTGATACAGACTGAGACAGACCCAGCCAGGCAGGTAGAGGAGGGTGATGAGTCCCATGAAGTTGTGAGGATAGTGGGAATAGTCCCATGAGCAGGCGTCAAACTGCCTTAGGACCAGACCCCAGGAGAACTCCCAGGCGTAGATGAAGCAGATGTAGAGCGGGAGGCGCTGCCACGTCCCCCAACCTCTGCTGAAATGCAGGTGAAGGTAGAGCTTTTCCACCACGAAGCTGCAGCTACCGTACATCAGGAAAGACCACAGGGACGTGTGGCCACTGAGGGTCCGGTCCGACTTCTCAACCAGGTTGAACATAGAGGTGAAAAGCACCTCGTCCAGAAAGCCGTGCATCCCGAAGAACAAGAACCGCACAAAGCCGGGGAGACCCTGAGGACCTGTCCGGTCCTGACCGCTGTCCTCCGGGCCGGGTTTACGTAGGAGGTCAATGGGGCAGCATGGGTGATACTGCAGCCTTGACAGCCCTCGGTGAAACACCTGGGCGAAGTAGATAGCCAGGATGTAGTGCACAGCCAGCTGCGTCCCTGATACTACCCTCACCTGCTCGGTCAAAGTGTTGATGTTCCCGATCAGGATCTGCAGCCCGATGTAGACAGACGGATAGAAAACAAGATGAAACACCACAGGCCGACCTCGGAAACACCTCTTCTGTGAGTAGATCTTCTCAAGCGCAAAGTGGGTTAGCGAATGCATGATACAAAGATATGGAGATGAAAACCCCACCAGTTTAGGGTCCCGATGATTGAAAACCCCCTGTAACGATGACAACAGGACATCCAGTGTCACACCATGCATCCCGTAGAAGTAAAGCCGCATCCATCGTGGCAGCTCCCGCAGCGATTCCGCCGCGTCCCCGATCTCTCCAGACGATTCTTCTTGTTGGGGTGTTCGCGCCGTTTTTAGGCCACCGACGTGCTCTCCTGAACGGCTGCGAGCACCGTCTCGACACCGACTGGCCATGATCAGTCACTCTGTCTGGAGGGATTCAGTGGTCCTCTTCCTGCACATTGTTTTCTCTACTGTTCCGCTGCGGCCGCGCACTGAAGAGAGCTGCGGCTGCAAGCATCTCTAGCAACTGTTCAGAATGACTGCTGCTTTCACGTGCTCCTTGGAAAAACCTATTTTTGTGAACACCGCTTAAGTGCTTAAAGATGCCCCTGGAGTTTCCCTGTAATCAAACAAAAGTTCAGTTCACAAATAGTACTGAAACGTTTCGTAGCCTACGTATCCAAGAGGGTTAACAGACTCTTTCATGAATTTCATTCCACATTTGCGAAGCTCAGGTTTAAAGTGTGGGCCTGCATTGTTTACCTACGTGTTTAGCTGTTAGTCGTCTTCTTTCCTGTCTTTTGTAAGTAGCTACATTGTCACGTTTGATGTTGCCTTCACAAACTGCCTATCTCCAGAAAAGTCTGAAACCTATGGCACTCCTGTGTTCGTGCACGTGTGTTGTCTTGCATGGGCAAAAACTCCGCAGAGTAGGCCTACCTTTTTTCTTTTTTTATTAACTGATGTTAATTAATCAAAATAAAATTATGATAAAAACATAGGCTATTTTATCAAATAACTGCTTGTCACCTCTTCTTCATCTCCACTTGGATATTATAAGAGTTGATTTTAAAACCATACTGATAATAGTTGTAAATATGTTAGATTCAACTGTATTTACAGTAAATGAAGCAATAGTTCGGCTGTGTCTGTTAATCAGTTAAGTCCCGTCTGTGATGTACAATACAATGATACTGAAACAAATCAGAATTGGTCTTTCATGCAGTTGCTGCTCTGGGTCGTCATTTGCATCATTATAAGTGTTTCCAAATGTCCAGTTGCACCTGAAGGGATCATAATTGAGAAACTGGTGGAGGCGGTGTGGCTGTGTAGTTGTGGTGGAGACGGGACGTTCCTGCTCTGACGCGGTTATTAACGGAGCTCACGTCCCCCGGCGACGTCCCGACGGTGTTTAATCAGGAGTCATTAATGATGATCACAGCAGATCATCCCGCTGTAATGATAGCTCCATATCGGTCCACACTAAACTCATTTGTTAAACCATCAAATTTAATCAGAAGTCGCCTCAATAATCATCATCGTCATCAATCATCATAGCTTTATCAAAAAATAAGAAAATAAAAACACTTGTTACGTGTGAGTAAGGTGATATATAGATGGATTAAAGTGAAATATTTGATAAATGCAGAAATGAAAATTCAGTCATTTGATGGATGCATTCTGATCTTAATGCTGCCCTGTCATGGTAGCCTATTTCGGACTGCTTCCTCTTGTGGTTTCCTGCAACACTTTGCACACTCTGTGTTCACGTAATACAATGTAATCAGAAAAAAATTCTCCATCTTAGACCATGTTTCAATTAGATTAGTATTCAGTTACCATCTAGTACATTACCCATTATAGTTGAGTATGTGTAACAAGTGAAGTGATTTGATTCCAGATAATGTCTACTTTAGAAAAATAAAACAAAACCCAGTCCTCTGATGACGATTAATAAAGTGGATAGTGACATTAAATGAACTATGATTTGATAAACTCAACATCTGTAGAGATTACAGATAAGAATGTGGTTCGCAAACAGTGCAAAGAACAGAAGAACGTTTCAAATTCAGCTGTGACTTTTATGCAGATGTACAGAAATTCTCTACGCACTGACATGGCCTGGTACAAGAACTTTGATTACATTTAAAGGCACATTTTCTGACTGAGCGATGTAGGGCATTGCTTGTTTAAGATTTGTGCATGATTACCCAACTTCTGGCTCTAGAGTAATGTCTAAACAGACATTAATCCTTACCCTAACCCCTTCGCAGCCTGCAGCCATATACAGTATGTACAGGTTAGAAGACATGCAGTAGGCTGAGATGGCCACAAGGGGGGGCTGCTCAATAGTGTGACCAGAATAGAGAGTGATACTGTAGCTAAGGCTCATTTTCCCAAAGGGGAACTGAGTGCATTTTCATCACAGGCTGTGAAGAGAGCCAAGACAAGTGTGTGCGTGTGTGAGACATGGTGCAGTCTGGTGTCACCCATCTCTTCTTGAGATGTGTTTTTATTGGTTTAGCGCTGACTATGTTTCTGGCTGTGGGAGAAGAGTATGTCTCAGTGTGTTCCAAAAGCATGCATTAGTGCTTAGACAGTGAGGCAGATTTTGTGTTTAGGTGCCCACGAAGAGAATATGAATTTCTGCATGTTTGTTTCACTCTGTTGAACAGTCTTGCGGAGTTTCACCGTGTGTATATTTACAAGTCTTTGTTCACTCTTTGTGAGTAATATGAGTGACAGCATGTCTCTTTAGGCTGCAGTCCTGTGTTCCCAATTCGCGTGCGCGTGTGTGTGCGTGTGTGTGTGTGTGTGTGTCAAACGTGCGCATATGTGTTTGTGTGTGCACTCATAGGAAATGGAGATATCAGTGGTCCTTCTGGGCCACAGAGATAAGTGTGTCTCTGCATGGTTTAAACCCATCAGAATCATTTTGGCAGAGAATGAACTCCTGCCTGAACCCACTCTGTGGTGATCCAGAACCTGCACAGCCGACTCAGAAACAAGAAAGCATTTTCAAACAGTTTGGGTCAAATACAGCATTATATATTCCAGTTGTCAAGATATGACCCTCTGTCTCACACACATGCACACCTCCACCTCTACTATTGCTAAAGCACATCCTCTCAACCTCCTTTTTAAGAGCATTACTACAGGTAATTGCAGTCATTATTCTTTATGTGTAGCATGTATACAATGGCCTTTGAACATCAATAATTCATTACCCCATTTTTTGTGAGACGTAATGCAATTAGTGTAAATAAATGGGATTATCACTGATATAAACAGAACGTGTAGAACATCTAAACCTCCCTGAGTATCAAATATAGATCTTATTATCAGAGGTAAAAAAGTAGAAATTTATCATTTCTGGCTATGAGGAGACACAGTTAGCTGTGCTTTAAATTCAGCATCAGTCATCAGTTAGATGGAGCAGTACTGAATGAGAGGGAAGAGTGAGCCCTATGTGGTTCATTCTTGCTTTTGACTTATGTCATTTAAGAAAGTCTCTTCTTACTGATGTTTTCTGTTTGATTCTGTTGTATTGTGTTAAGAATACAGAAAAAAGGGGACAGATGGAAATAGGCCCTGATTAAAAGAGCACTTGTGTATTATACTGTGTAATTATTACAGCACTGAATTTTAGGCTAAGCTGATTTTAAGTTAGTTTTGCACAAGCCCACAGGCATATTAAACCATTTTACTGCAAGCTGTAAGAATGGCATTTTTTTTTAATTCTATGACACGCTGGCACAGATTTAATAGATAATTTCAGGGTATTTTAAATATTATTCTGTGCAGTTAAGCTTCACTCTGCACACAGTCTGAGTCAGACACAAGGATGGAAGAGGTCAGTGCTGTCTCATATTGTATTCCTTTGTATTACTATGTGCTATCAATTATATTTCCTTTCATCTATAGTTTCACTGAGAAAGTCGGAGTAAAATGAGAAAAATAGATACTACATTTGTAATACAGATAAAACATCTTTGTCCAGAGCTGTATATTGTGTCATGATGTTGCAAAATTATTTTGCAACTCCTGATACAAACTAATTCTGTCCTCATGTCTTATTACTACTCTTTTATTCAGATGGCTCCCAGACTTGATGTTGCACAATGGCTTGGTCATAATGGAGGCTGCAAAATGTTGGAATGTTCAAGATGCTACTTCACTGAATAGCACCTGCACCTTCTTCGATCTAAAGTCTGTCCTTCAGTGAAACCTCTTATTTTCAGTGCGTTTGAGTCTTGGTATTCATCAGATAAAACGCCATATACCTTCAGTTCATGTTCCACAGATAGCTGGTCTGTTCTCTTCGTCTCCCTCTGTATGTTTTATGCATTTTAATGTGCTGTGGTGGATTCTAGCCAGCAAACTGCTGGATATTAGGGAGTGAGTATGGTGCAGAAAATGTAAGACACTATAATTTGTGGTATTTGTTAAATCGGGCCATAAAATTATATCATCTCATTTACACTTAGTAAAAGAGTTAAAACTGCTTTTTCAGAAATCCACATTCTTTTCCCCCTAAAGAGCCTGATTTAAACACTAGATGGCAGCGGTGTGGCACAGTCTCCCATGGTTTGGGTGGGCCCTTCTGACTCTGTTGTTCTCATTCATAGAAACACAATAATACTGTTTTGCATGGAGTGAATTTTAATGCATAGTGGTTATATGTGCATCAATGACGGTCAATGTGGCAAATGCCAGAGACAGACTATCAGTGTGTGGCCAGAATAGCCATGACAGGTTATTGTGTATGTGACCTTAGACTCCTTTGTACTCATCATTGTGTATCACTGTGTGCTGATTGCCACGTTAACAATGGATGATTCAAGACTATTCTACTGCTGGTGTCATTATACAACATGACATTCATAGAAGGGTATACCGTGTAAAACCTGAAGCCGAATACACTCATTTACTTCCTGAAAGGTTGTAGACCGTATTCCCTAGATCAGAAAGGCTTTTGTAAATATACATCACAGATATATCATATCAGAGGCGCGATAGACTCTCCTCAGTTGCATACGAAAACATTTTCTCATCAGATATGTCCCGTTAGGCTCATTACAGGTTGTGAGTGGCTGTAAGATGAAGCTATGTGATGTTTGATTGATGTGATGCTTGACCGAGTCCCGCAGGAAATGAATGCGAATCTGCAGTCACGCACTTAAAATGCGAACCTCTGAAAATGTAATTTCAGAACCCATTTCCTCCAATTTGAGCCATTATTGAATGGACCGCTGGCCTCATGCTCTTGCATTGTCTCATATGGTCAGATTGGGTAGTGTAGTGTGTGTGTGTGTGTGTGTGTGTGTGTGTGTGTGTGTGTGTTTGTGTGTGTGTGTGTGTGTGTGCATATAGGCTCATGCTGTGCTTTTGTGTTGTGTATTTTTCTCAAGCTTGTAGCTTGTTTGTTCTCATTTTATACATTTTTGACCTGGAGATATTATATTTCCAGTGCTACTGTGTGCCTGTTGCTTATGTGAGAGAGTGTGTGTGTGTGTGAGAGTGTAAATTTGTGATCCCTCTAGAGATGGGAGGAGGAAGAG